GGGCCGGGCTCTGCTCGGTGCTGCCAGTGCCAGCAGCAGCAGCAGCGGCCATCAAAGGGCGGGCAGCGAGGGGCAGGGCAGCAGGAGGGAGAACTTGTGTGCATGGAGGGACAGCAGAGCCCTGGAACAGCTGCCCAGGGAGGGCCTGGAGTGTCCCTGTGTGGAGACATCCATCCTGTGGGATGCACCAGATCATCCCCAGACATCCCTCCCAACCCCAAATATCCTGGGATTCTGTTAGTCTGTAATTTATGCAGCTAATATGAAAAATCTAGCCAGTAAATTGTCACCTCCAGGGTTCAGACAGCAAGTTCTTAGTCTTAAAAGGACTCCCCCAATTAAACAGGCAGCCTCATCAAGCCAGTGAGGTGAAAGGATCTGTAATGAACCACTGTGACAGCAGTGGGGATGCTGTACAGGGTATACAGGAGGTCTGAACACATTTGTTTTGCCTGGGATAAACAATAGAAAACTGTTGTTTTAGTCACATTAAAGGAGGAATAGCTCAGCCATACATAGAAACCAGTGCCAGCTGAGCTATAATCATGCAAGCCTGGGTGAAGACACATTAATATCCAACACAACAGTTTGAGGGAGTGGAAGAAGGAGAAGGGGTTGTCTCTCATCTTCAAAAAGACTGACATATATTTTATGGCATTTCCCTATGGAGGGAAGTACTACCCTTCTTTCCAACTTGAATACATAGCTACAACATCTTAAAAAAGGCATACATATAAGTGGTACACACTAGGGAAGTGTTCACTCTGTGTTGTGGCACCTCACCTATTAAAAACAGAAATGCAGTTTGATTTGGTTTTCCCCCTATTTTACTTGGGAGGGCATGGAAAATTACATAAAAGATGCCTATTTAAAAATGCCTATTGCTTGTTACCCTTTTAAAGTGCAAGTTTCACTAACGCCATGCATAAGTTTTGGGTGAAAAAGGCTCGGTAAGAGCTGCTCACAAAGCTATCAAAGACATTGTTTGAAACAAGCAACAGCCCTTCCACGTGGACCTTTTATCTGTGGAAGTCTCTGCCCCAACACACGATACCACCCTGACCTCCTTCAGCAAGGTCAGCCTATCAGAAAATGTGGAAAACACGAAGGTTTAATTTCCAATTAGCCACCAAATTCACATGTGCTGTCTCTAAAGCATTGTTGTCTTTAGCAGGCATGCATCTGATGGCTACAGATGAAAAGATGCTTTTAATTTATTTTTGGAAATTAGATTACGCTATCAGTAGCCCACAGATTGGCGTGCACCCCCTGAATATCACACTTGCTGTCTGACAGCAGTAACAAAGATGCACGTTTGTGTAAAGGAAACTGTTTTTCATCACTTGCAAGCCACCACCATGCTATTTGGATAAAGAATTCACAGAGATAGAGAGGCACGGTAGCACAGATAAATAGCATCACAACCTTTTACCGCGAAGGAAATAGCAAGGAGAGCACATCATCCTTGTCTTCTGCCTTAATACATTCAACTGAGATCAGGTACAGGCAAATCGATTTGATCAGGATAAACAAATTACAGTTTTCACTGCACAGAAAGAATAAAAAATGCATAATCCTGAAATAAATTAGAGTAGCAATTGAATTATTCTGAAAACCTGCACAACCAAAATCACAGCAGACACTCCAAATGCAATTGCAATGATAAAAAAAAAAGCCCAACACTGCTACAGGGACACAGAATATGCGTCCATCTTTGTAGGTGTTGAAGTCTAACACTGACTTTAATTTGACTTTAACTGACTTTTAAATTGACTTGAACTGAGTTTTAAATCTTTAATTTAGCCTTTAGCTCAGGCTTCATGTGCAGCAACTGACTATAACCTCCTCTCTCACTATAAAATTTACTGTCCTCCTGTCTTGGACACTGAAACCTGTGGAGCATTTCTATGAGGACCACAAAGGTGAGCAGAGCAAACCCATCACCAGGAGGCCTAAATTTATCATGCAGGTGCTGACAAACCAACTAAAAAAGGAAAAAAAATAGTAAGGTTTTCTGCAAAACAAGTGTTCTTCTCTATCTCTCCTCCTCCAGTAGCCATCTAATCTTAATTTAGGATAGCTTAATTTAGGATAGGGGAGCACATTATCCAGCTACCTCCAGGAAAACACAGAATGTTTGGATACAGCCCCGATTAAAACAAAACTAATGTGAAGCCTGGAATAGTGGAAGGCGTCCCTGCTCGTGGAAAGGAGTGGAATGAGCTGTGCTTTATGGTGCCCTGTGATCCCGGATTGTGTGGTCGTGCTCTGCCTCCCTCACACAAAGTGCACTAAAATCCCCTTCCCTGAGGCCGTTCTTGCAGCAGGGAATTGTTTCACACCAGCTCTTTAACAGGCAGCGACTCAGCACTAACAATAGCAACGCAGCTATCTCGGCAAATTACAGCTGAGTGGTGTTTGCCCCACCAGGAGCCCGGTGCTGAGAGGCTGATAAGCCAAAAAGGCCCCCGGAATTCCCAAAGCAGCGCTAAAACGACGTCAGGAAAAAAAGAAATCTCAAGGCAGCTCTTGCTCTAGAGTCCTGCTAGCATCCTGAACTGGAAAGTGGACTGGTAGAGGAGAAAATGACAAAATGACACAATTTTACATCCAAGGATTCTGAATTTGGGACGGGCGTGTGAATTGCAGACATAATTCTATTAAAATTAAGTGTTGTGGGGGGAAAAAGTGTATCATTAAAAAGGAGATGTTCGTTTTCCCCACACACTGCTAAGACTTTCCTTGCAGCTCAAGCAAGAAACAGTGCAGGTATTTGTCCTTCACCGCCAAAGCCAGGCAGGGGAGCAGCAAACAGCCCCAGGGAGAGGCGGTGGCAGTGGTTAAAGATCAGGACACCACAACAAACAGTTAACCGGCTGGCACATCGAGATAAACAGCTCTTGCTTACTGCAGGAGTGAAAGAAAACATCATTAACACCTCACTAAGCTAATTTGACGAGCAACGTGTCTTTGGTTTGGATCACGTTTCCGAGGTGATTTGGTAAATTTGTAACGGTGAATTTTAATTTTTTTTTTTTTGTTAGCTTTGTAAATTCCTGCACTTTGCCGCTCCCCCGATGAATTTAAATTTCTCACCATCCTTACAGCTGCTGTAGCTCGCTGGCTCTGCATCATCTGCAGATGTAACTAATGTGCTTTCTACTTCCCCTTTCAGATCATTCAAGAAAACATTATGTAAAACACTGAAGCACTAAACACTTCATTTATACAGAGAGGGAGCAGGCCTGGAAGAGGTCCCAGGGGACAACAGAGTGACTGTGACTGATACACTGCTGCCCTTCAATATCTGTTCTACTGTTTATTGGGATTTCATTTTTTCAATCTTTTTTTTTTTTTAAGGTGTAAGAAGATGAAGACAGAAGCATTTAGAAAACTGTGTTCTCTTAATCAAAAATCAGTCATCATGTATCCACCAGACCTTGTATTTTGAGCTTAAGAAATAAAAACAAGAATTAGAAGCTTATGAAAAAATCTCATTTTCCCCTGACCACTTACCCTGCCCACTATTTCCCTTCTAGGATGAAGAAAGAAATTATCATAATTATAAGACAAAATATTTCAGAAATAACTGAAAAGTTTCTCAGTTTTTCTTCTAGGTGCTAATGCTTATGGGAAGATGTGCTTCACATAAGGAAATAACAGGTATTAAAAAATGATACAACACATTTTTCATACAAGATTCCAAAACTGAAAGTTTCATTATTGTATAGAGACTGAATTTTAATTTTGCACTAAGTAACACATAATCTCCTATTTAATCTTTGCATTACTTCACTAAATATGAGAGTTATGATACCTAAGGCAATAATTATCAGAAGTTATGCACCGAAAGGAGACATTCACACAGCAATGCCTCTCTTTTAAGTCAGAATCTGAAACTAAACACTGAGTTTACTTCAAATAACAACAACAACTTTTCACTGTGTCTATATGAAAAAAGAAATCATGCTGGAAACTCTCATTAGATCTGCTTTGCTGATTGTGATTTCTCTCTGTATTAGTAAAATATTCTAACAACCTTTTCTAACAATATTTTTTTACACACAGGAATTCTGTACTACCACGAAATTAGATAGATTCTGCCCTTGTTGTCCTGGCAGGTTATAGCCTATATATAGATATAAAGATATAGATGTATGGATAAATATATGTCATATTTGTGAGATATCTCTCTTCTATTAAATCTTAACCCACAGTATTTCAACTTTTCCTTCTCTGTTTCAAAAACCATTTAACAAATAATTTTTGGAGAGAGCCCGCTTCACAGACA